TAAATTACATATATGCTCCTACAAAGAAAAGAAGAAAAGCATGAGGTTTACAATTAGACAGATTTTATTAAAAGATATATTTTCTAGGAGCACTTAAATTGGTCAGTTGGCATTTTCCTCCCAATGTGACCAAGTTTGTAACTTAATAAACATAGGCTATCAAAGCCAATTTCCGAGAAACTTTACGGATATAGTTTGTAGTTTAAATTAAAAACCCTTTTCATGTGACTTACTTGTTATCAGTAAAGTGACAGAGCATTTATATAACCATGTAATTCCTTTGTAATTTTCTATCACTTGTTAACCATCTTCATAATTAGTATTAAATTATGTCATAGATCAGTAAAAAGCATTCTGTCAGAATAGAATCTATCAGAACACTAAGATGAAAAAGCTTAAAAAACACCACTATATCTGAATTAAATTCTTTATTTTTTCTAGCTCTTGTTATACTTACATAAAACAGTTTTCATAATAACATATAATTTATGTTGATAGAGCATAATAAAAATGGTACACCTCTAACCAGAATAGCTTCAATACTTATAAACATAACACTTCTTAATTTCACCATGAACACACCATGTAATGGACAAATTATACCGCCTTAGATTTTAAATAGTCCTCAGTGATTGAAGGATGCCACAGGAATAAAAATGTGGGCTGTAGAAATATAATAAGTAGTCTCACTCTCAAGGTTTATTGAACAAGGCAGAGCTATGCACATGTGTGTCAGTGGAATGATTTAGCAAAATTACCAGTTAGTCATGTATCCTACAGGGTCACAAACACATCTATTAAAAGGCCTGAATTTATATCTTTACTCTTCAATGAAACATAAAACTCAGAACCACTTATACTATACACAAAACTCTGAAAGTAATGCCAGTATATTACATTTCTGAGTAAACAGAAAATAAAATTCACTGGAATGAGTCAGTAGATTAGCCAGTTAAGCCATCAGAAACTTTCAAGTAGCTTTCTTCTTCCAACCTTAACATTGGCAAAAATACTTAGCAATCTTATTTACAGTAAATTTTCCTTAAAATAACTGGATAGTTATGATATAGAACTATGATGTAGTAGTTTTATGTAGAGGCAGGAACACTGTTAGAAATCTGCAGGCATTTCATCCCAACCACATATCAACACAGCAATAGTATCAGCAGAAAGCAAGATCCTAATTTCACCAGCTAGAAAACTCAGCAAAACTAGGAAGTCTAAAGTGTTTCAAGAAGCAAGAGGAAACAGAACACTGGTTTAAATGCACAAAAGGGAACTTATGGTCATTCATAAAAAGATGAAAGGCAGTTATAACATATGATGGTCATTTAAACACCAGTGCCATAATCAGACACTGCTTTAATACCAGGAATACACTGACAGACGAGATAAAAATACTGGAAGAGGGGATAAGGGTGGGGCAGTTTTGCCTCAAATGACCACAGCTCTTGCTACATACTCTTATGGAAAAGGAAAGGAAATCACCTCTGGCTGGTATCAATCAGAGATATATTTGATGAACCCCTCCCAAAACACATAAGCACAAGAATCTCATTTCAAAACTCAGGTGTGTGTGTATGTATGTATGTATGTGTGTGTGTTCATATATACATCACATGTTTGAGGGAGGAAAAGAGGTATGCGAAGCACAGAAGACGGGTGTGGCTCAAGGTCATTCTCCTCTTGAAAAGAGAAAGTGAAAAAATGACAAAAAGGAATGGTCTCAAGGACAGGTGCTAAATGACAACTCCTTTCCGCCTGCCTATATGCTCACATTTGTTTCCATGGGTATCCTAGCTTTCCTATTGTTCTGCCCCTCTTGTTAGTGACCATAAGAGAGCTGACAAGGAAGGAAGGTTTTTCTAGGAAATTTTCTATCAATACCTGATAGTCTTGACCTATTAGTGAGTCAAGCCAGCTCTAAGTACAACGCTGACCAAGGGCAGTGGACTCAGATCCTCAAACTGGTTTGCACCTCTCTGCCTCTCCAGACAAGAGAGAAGAGAAGGGAGGCAGAAAGCTCCATTTTTTAAGGAACTTCTATACATGAAACTCTATGCTAGGGGGACTATCTGGTTTTGACATTTCACCTACCTCCAGTCTGCACCAATGAATGGCATTTTTAAACATGAATCACACCACAATCTATGTTTAGGCATCTGATCACTCAACATCCAGTTAATACATTTGTTTCAACCTTCCCAGAGGATGAGGGCACAAGGACAAGACTTAACCTGCAAAGGACTGAATCCTTAATGAGAAAAGGCCAGGGTGAAATGAAATGAGGAGGGACGTGGAGAAAACACAAAATTTTCCCAAGTACTAATATTCTCCACCAGTATCCTGTCCTTCTTGGGCACCCTCTAAACAGGGATGCCTTATTTGCTAACAAATATTATGAGTATGCTATAGTTTCTGTTGTAATAATATTCTGAAGAAATCTGGGGGACAAAAAGGTACCTCTGTCAGATTTTTAGTATACACAAATCAATTTTCTGACTACGATTTTCTGAGCGATAGGAGAAATACAAATAAATTCACTAAAAGAGAAAAAGGAAAAGATGAAAGAAAAGAAAAATCCTCACCTAATTCCTCCCAAATTCAGTTATTTTTAGTCTTTATGTATGCAGGCAGTACCCTTTTCTTTCTGAGTCTTCAGAAAGTAGAGGGGGGACCTGCTTTTCTGTTAAAGTCGAGTTATACTCCCTATCCTTTCTTGGCTTTCCCTAGAGCTCAAAGTTACAGAGCAAATCTGTCTAGAGTGGCCTTCAACTCCTTCGTGTTTATTGGAGTTGGGGTGGGGGTAGGTAGCAGTTTTTCCAGTGGTATTTCAACTGGAGGTAAAACAGGAGTAGAAATGACCTGGTTAAATCCAGGAGAGCAAGAGGGGAGAGAAGAGAAGAACAAATAGAGGCCTAGGAAAAACACACTTCGTTTCAGGTTTTGAATCCTGAGAAATCATGCAGTATCTGAATATCAAGGCATTTTTGCAGCCAGCCAGCTTTCCTTCTATGTACTTGAATATTCATTTACCAAGAAGGAAGAGGGGGCTTCAGGCGCAGGAAATCGGGCAGGACCTCACTGCCAGCCCCCCCACCACCACGTGTGTCTCTCCACTTCCTCCGTCTCAAATCCAGGCAGCCACCTCTGCCATGATGCGCCCGCTGTCTGCCAGGGGGCCTGCTGAGGCCTCCCGCCCGGCCCCAAGAAAGTGTCAACGCGGGCCTGGAAGCTGCAGTGGCGGAGCCCAGCCCCCAAGCCCGCTGCAAACACGGCCTTGTAGCACCACCAGCCTGCGAGGACTGCAGCAGCAGCCGAGCCCAATCTCCAGAGGAGTCGGGGACATCAAGGCGCAGGGACAGCGACAGCAGCTAGCTAGCGACCGGCTTCTAGTCTGCAAATACCATCATACGGATATCTATTTTAAAAATGCAGCGGGCGGAGGAAAAGCAGGCAGCGCCCCTCCGCTTTCCAAGCGGCTTCAGCAAAGAGAAACCCCTGGAGCAGTCCCAGTCACTGGTTCCAGGAGCAGGGCACCGTGCGCTCGGCTGAGCCAAACCCTTGGTTGAGTGCAGCGAGCAGGCAGCTCCCAAAGGCGGGAGACAAACGAGCATTCCCTAGCTGAATTATTCAGACCGCCTTCACTGTCTAATAAAACATTGATGAGACTACTTTGGAAGCGCTTTATTTTCTTAATCCTAATGCCCTCGAGAAGGGTGAGAAATTTTCTGTAGGGGACGCAGAAGTGATGGGATAGGAAATGAGAGAAATAAGGTGCGAGGGTAAGGGGCTTTGGAAGTTCACTAAATTTGTTCTGCCTCAGCCGGCTGTGGGAATCTCCATTTTTAACATATCAGACCCAATATGTTAATTAGGCAGTCGCAAATCCACCCTACTCCTTGTAAATCAAGGCACTGGCAAGAATTTTCAAAATACACATTATACAGAGACAAACCAAAAAAAAAAAAAAAAAAAACAAGTTTGGGGAAGGAGGTACAAGCATAGGGAAGAGCAAATGCAATAGATCTGAGACAGAAGAATTCTTAGCAAGTTCAAAAAAACAGCATGGAATGTGTTGTGAAATGTTTTTATATCCGTAGAAAATCTGGAAGTTTTACCAGGTGGATCTTCTTCACAAATCCTCAGGGATCCAGCCTTCTTATAGTTCATCTCTATTTCTAGGTACTAGCCATTATCCTCAGAGTCCAAGATGGCCCTGATTACATTCTAAAGCCCAGGCTTAGTAAAAAAAAAAAAAAAAAAAGCAGAACAAAATAAAAACAAACCACACGCGTACAGGCCCCTCTCCACAAGCGAGACAATGCAGCTGAGGACTGAGGTTGTGGTTTTAGCAGCGCTCTTCTAGATATGGATCTATTTTGCTACATAAAAGCAAACCCTGGCAGTTAAACACCGTATCTCAACACATACACCCGTGACAATGAATTCCCTTCCACTCAAAGCAAGTTCCAAGAAAACTCTATTTCGAATTAAAGTCTCCAGATGCATAATTTACAACTACTAAAGGATCTGGCAAGCTCGTCGATAATCAGGAAAACAACCTGGCACCAGAGGAAGAGAAGGGTCAAAGTGATCCCTGCCTGAAACGATGGGTGGAAACCAAACACCCTCTCACACTCCACAATCTGGGGAGGGTTGGATACCAAATGGTCTGTGGCAACCATAGCCTGAAGAAAACACGGGACTTTAATCTCTGGCATCTTCAGACAGGTTCAACACGCCTAGCTTCCAAAAACATCACTTAGGGTGGAGCGTATCCATATTTTCTTAGCTTTCACTACTAGATTAAATGCTCAGGTATAGATTTATATTCCACCTACCAGAAATTATATTACATCATAGAGCGCCCTTGAATACCCAGCCCTTCTTAATGATTTTCAAAACATTAATAAGTAAAGTAGCCTGCAATGCAGATAAGACACTAGAAATAAGATCAGAAGGAAACTGGGTGAGGCGGGAAGTCGTTTGCTTGTTACCTGGTGCCTCTAGAGGAAAGACGGGCGTAGGAAGACTTTCTGCCCGCAGGTACAATCCCGGCAAGGTGTTTCCAGGTGGCTTTCACAGTCGTACGCGGGTCTCGCTCGTCACTTCGCTGCCCTTTGCCATAGCTCAGCACCCGCATCCTAGGGAGTCCGAGAGGCGGCTCCTGCCATTGCCGCCGTTGCCCGCAGGTCGCGCTGGGCGGGGGATCCGCGGCGATCGCCCCATGAAACCCGCGTTTCTGCACCCAGGGATCGGGCAGAGGCAGGGCGGCCGCGCACGCACACACAGAAACACACTCAAACACACACACACACACTCGCAGACAGGCGCGCGCGCACTCGCATTCACACTTGCGCGCACACACACACACACACACACACACAGACACCCAGTACAGCACGGGGAAGGAAAAGCAAGGAGGGGACTGGTCCTTCTCACGATCGGCTTCGATGCCCACAGGACCACGGGCAGCAAAGAGAGTGGTCTAGCATAGCGGTTCTATCACGTTTCCTTCAAGTTCTCCTCCAACCCAAATCCACGTAATTCAAGAGCTGGTGACATTTTGGTGGGGAGGCAAAAGAGCCAGGAACCAGCAAGGAAGAGTCGAAGAGTCGGGGATTTTGTTAAGCAGTTTGAAAGGCAATTCTTTTTACCTTGATTGTGCAGAAACCAGCTCGACAGGCTGAACTTTTGGCTTCAAATTATGTCGACCGAAACGTAAATATCCTTCGGGCGAAGACAGGAAGGTCTAGATGCACAGAAACAAGACGGCTGCAAGACCCTCTAGTGACCTTGTAATGTACCTGGAAGCAGGTTAATACTGGCGTTTTCCAAGCCTCTGGGTAAAGCGATCCACACACAAGGGTCCAAAGCTGAGCAGCCCTTCCGAATCCAGACTGGAAAATGGGTCTGGGCGTCCTCCGCGCTCTGCGAGAAGCCAGGCATCGAGGGGGACCGCCGAGTTAACACATTTGCTTCTGGGCAGTTGTACAAAAGACAGTCAAATGCATCAGATAAGCGCGCGCACACATACACACACGCCCTCACGCACGCTACTAAGCTGGAGAGAGCTTACAAAAAAATAGATGCCAAAATGACTTCAAAAGGTAGAAACAATCCAGAATCTTTCCGGAAAAATGGAAGGGCCAGCAGGAAGGTTACACACGTCTTCCCAGGTCTTTCATTGTTCCTCTCTCTTATGAGTGTTGTGCGTGCGTGTTTGTATTTCCAGAAGGTTTCCTTGGTCTGCCCCACCCCCGTCCAGTTGCGCTTTTCTTTTCCTGATATAAACCACCCGTTCAAAATGGATTATATGGGTGGTTTGTGCTCACAACCTAGAGCTCCACAAACTCTAGAATCCTAAGGGAGCAGCCAGCTGCTAGCCATTGCCATCCTTGAGGGAAGAAGGGAAAACAGGCGCAAACACACGCACCCCCGCGCGCACGCACACAGAGTCCTCAGTTCGGGCTGCTCTGCACACATGGAAGGTCTCCCTACGCGCCACTGCACAGTGCCCCGCCCGCTGCCCGCGGCTTCCGGGCGAGTCCGCGGCTCAGGCGAGAGGGTGGCGGCCCGACTCCCGCGCTGCGGTTGCGGCCCGGGCGAGCCCGGCTTCCGGACTTTCCGAGCCGGCGTGTTCGGACGACGGCAGTTGCCGGGCCGGGAGGAACTGCGCCCCGCGCTGCAGCATGGAGGCGGTGGCGGCGGCGGGGCGCGCGGCCACGAGCCCGGCCCTCGCCGCAGTGACAGGAGCTGCCGCGCCGCCGAGACTCCGGGAGTCAGGCGAGACCCCCGGGGCCGGGGCCGCCACGCCTCCCTCCGCGCCTCGGAGCCTGGCGAGTTCCGGACTGATTTACCCAGGGCTGGAGTAAAGGGCCAGCCAGGCGCCGGCAAATCCCGGGGCAGGCGAGGCGCGGGGGCGTTGCAGACAGGGGGAGGGGAGAAAGCAGAAAATCTGGAGCATGAAGGCGAACTTCAGGGGCCTCCCCAGTCTCTTGCGAAGGGGGGACTTGCTGACCGCCCACTGCCCCACGGTTATGGGGTAAAGGAGTATCACCGGGTCAGGCTGTGACTGCTTATGGCACAGGGAAAAGTCATTAGCTATAACCCGCCAGGAATATCTGAGATGGAGGGCTGCTGACCTAGGGGTCTTAGTCGCCTGCGACTGGTTTCCAGCATCCCCTTAGTAGGTGGTAGTTTACTTACTAATCGATGGGCGCAAAAGCTGAAAAGAATATTATATTTGAGAATCAACTCAGTTGAGCATCAGACATTACCAGTACTGCAATTGGTCACATATTAGTATGTCAAGGGCAGAAAGTAAACCCAATAGTCGTCACAAGCCAGACCAGGCCACTAAGGTTACTGGGACAGGGAACAGATCCGAAGCAGGAAAGAGAAGAGGGATGGAGAGAAAGCAAGACAGGGACCCGCCGGCGGAGGTCGACTTTTCTCGCCACAAATCCTAGAATTACTCTCCTCGACCCTCCCCTCCCTCCAGCCCGGAAAAAGGCTTCCTCCTGGGAACCCCGAGTGAAATCAGCTGTTCCTATCTCCTGAGCCTGGAAATCCTGTCACTTCTCTTTAACCGGTTCACCAGCACTTGGTCTTCGGCCCCAGCGAGGAACTCCCTCTCAGCTCGGATCTCTGCTGGCCCCGAAACCAGTCTGAACCCAAAGAGAATGTAAGAGTTGGGAGTTGCCGAAGGAAGCTGGCTAATGAGGGCCTCTTCCAGGCCTACTTGTCAAAGCCACGTGCTAGTGGCCTCCTAGGATAGGGCGTTCTCGAATTTGGCTACCAATAGAGCTCTCCCAGGCTTCAGCGTTGCCCTGCGGGTGCCCAGACGCGCTCACACCCGAACACACCCACGGGCTCTCCCAAGAGCGTACACGTGCACCCACGCATAGGCAGGACCCACACAGCTGCCTCTTTCAGGAGACGATGCGAGGGGTGTTGGCGCTTGAGGTGGAAAGTGCTCTCGCGTCTCCTCCTTCCTCTTCTTCCTCTCTACGCCCACCGGGCTCCAGGTCCAATCCGGGGTTTAGGAATCCGCGCAACTCTTCCGGAGGCTTTGTTCCGAGGGAGCTCGGCTCAGGGGCCGCAGTTCCTGCTGCGCCTCCTCCTTCCAGGTCCGCTGGCGGCACCGGGTCCGGGGCTCTGGGGCGAGCTCCGCGGAGCACGGGTGGCGCCGGACGATTAGAGTTCGAGAGCTGGTGGCAAACTCGCGCAGCAGCGGGTCTGCGTGGCGACACCTCCGACACCTCAGAAAAATAAAAGGGACAGCAAGGACATATACATCAGCGGACACCACTGCAGGCCAGGAGACTCTCCACTAAAACCATCAACGCTGCCCCTGTGGCTTTTTGTCCCCCGAAGTGAAAAAAGGTTTCCGAAAAGTCCAGGGCAAGAACCTGCGGCGAAATAAGTTCAGGGACTCTGAGAAACAGGGAGAGAGAGTGCTTCCATCTTTGTTTCACTTTAAACTTGGCCGCTTCTCGGACTTCACTGAGGGGCGGCGGCGGAGCACCAGCACGGACCACAAGCAGATACGAGCGAGCACTTCCAATATTTTTGGACACGGGGGTGACTCCTTTTTCCTTCAGGATTTTAACACTTGCCCCCCGCTTCCCTACTGAGCTGATAGGAACCGCTGAAAACCAGGAGATAAAGGTTTGCTGTCCCCCCCGGGGACCAAAGTATAGAGAGATGTTGAATGAGAAGCCCAAAGACCTTGCATTGTTGGACTAAATAACTTTTCTTTTTCGTTTTCTTTTTTTTTTTTTTTCTAGTGCTCGGACCGAGGTGAGGAGAGGGTACACTTAACCAGCTGTAAGAAGACGAGAGCTGGAGTTCAGATATCTTCCTGGGTGCTTATATGTAACGGTGTGTGTGTGTGTGTGTGTGTGTGTGTGTGTGTAATCAACGTCTCTTTAGGGAGTAGTAATGTGTAACTTTCCAGTATTCTTTTCTGTTGCAAGCCCTACCAAGCTCACAAAACCATCCTCTCTTCCTTTAGTTTAGCCTTCCCGTTGTACATTATGCGTTATATTTGAAAGTGCTTTCTCCTTTTCATCTCATCTCAAGAAAGCACTCACTGGTAAAGTCATGTACCTTTCACTCTCCAGGTACAGTATTTGTTTCTTTCCCTCCTATACAAGCTGATTAGAGTTTACCAGTAGGGAGGAAGAAACAAGCTTTGTTTTAGCTTGACAGTAGAGGTGGGAAGACTTTCAAGGAAAGGCTGGGATATTCTTTCCCAAAGGATCTCAGAGTTAACAGAGGGTAATTTTTCTTTCAACCAAAGGAAAAAAAGGCCTCTGAAAAAAAAGGAGATGGCAATTTCTAGTTTGCCTACATAAGTATTGTTGGCAAAACCAGCTTTGAAATTGGTGTACTTTTAAGTGTCCAAAAAATCTTAGTCTATCCCCAAATCCAGTGTTTATGCCATCATTTTTAAAATTACATTAGGCTTCTTTCTCGGCCCAATCATTTTTCTAAGGACCTCTGGTCATAAATATTGGACTGTGTTTTCCCAGAATAATGCAGAATTTGAAACAAGTTGTGTTTTGCTAATTTCAGACAATAAATGGAAATATGAATGATTTACACTTAAAATGATGAATACCAAAAGGAAACCTGAGTTTCTGGTTATATTATTATTTAGCATTTTTTCCTAAAGCAGTGAGAAAGGCATGACTTACTCTGTTTTAAAATTGTTTTCAACAATTAGTTTGCTTACCTCATGAATTTTCTTATTTCTGTGGTTTAAAAGTGTATGATATATTGTCGCTTTAGTTCATTTTTTGTTTGATGTATGCTTTAAAAAGCTTTTTAAAATTGGAATTACCTCCATATTTTCTGGGTGATGAACTGGTATTGTGAGGAGCATTTGATTCTTTTTCCTAATATAAAGTTATCTGTTAATTCAAGACTGGAAAATGATGTGAAGAAACAACATGGAAATACAAGTTTCTGAAATGAAGGAATAACTTTAAAAAAAAAAACTTTGTTAAAATATATTTGAAATCCAACATCAAGCTTTTTAAAAAATCACGACCATAGTTGTGCCCCATGTATTTTTGAAATGTAAAAAGAGACCTGCTTATCTTAGAAACATATTTTTGATGTTGTACCTGACTATAAAGTCCTAAGGTACAAATTGTGATGGCAATTAGATCTTACCAAAAACATGATTCAACTGGGCTTTAAACAGAGTTGCAGACCCAGCATATTTCTCTCCTAAATAAACAGATTGCTCATTTATGTATGTATTTTGGATCTCCCCAAAATCAAATTTATTTACTATTTAATATATTTCTGAGCTACAAAAGACACTTTCCCTTTTATTTTTAAATAAAAATAAATTTTTAATTTTTATGTGATTTTTAACTTGATCTTTTGTAAAACATACATTTACTTACTTTCCCTCCCTCCTGAATCTTTGTCATATTTTTAAACTTTTATGGACGATGATAATGGCATACTAGGTGATTAAGATCTACCTCATGAAAGCTGTGCACTAAGAACCCGATAAATTACGGGGCGGAACTGGTCATTTCTTATACTAAGAAAAGTATTTTTTTAAGTTTAATTTGTAAAACACAAACATAGTGATTTTTAAAGACAGTGTCATTGGCAAAAATTGTTTATGAGAGCTCAAAGATAAGAGGTTATTTCAGAGAGAAATATTGCTGGACAGGTAAGGAAATTCTTAGGCAAAATAGCAAGTAAAAAATAAATTTTATGTAAATACTCATCCATCTTGTTTTGCTTTTTTGCTTACATTCTAGTATTAACTCCCTGTATTTGTCTAGGGCTTCCATTTAGTTACCCAAAAGTCCCAAACTGCAGCATCCTACCTAGGAATATCTAACCCAGAGAAGACTGGTATGATACTGGGATCTATGTTCCTGTCTTCATCAAAACCTCCATTTAGTCATATTAGATATATCTTATTAAATTCTTAAGGGGAAAACAATCATATAATGCTAATTCAAACTAAAGTGTCAGTGTCTA